CCCCTTAAAAAAAGGTAAAGATTCTGCATACTGGTTATCAATTTAACCCTGCCTCGTTTATGTATTGCCATGTCATCCAAATTTGGGTACACTCGATCTCAAGGCGTAGGCACATTTTGTTTGAATTAGGTTACTGGATCTCAACGCGTTTTGGCGGTATCCATTGTTGAAGCAAACAATGGAAGAACAACTAGTGAATGTCGGCCTGATATCGAAAGCACCAACGATACGTGAATTATCACAGTACTTAAAACATGCAGATTTTCTCTCCCGAAAACTCTCTCTCTCATACCCTTTTTAACTCCCAGTGGAGCACAGGCCATCAACAACATTACTCCAGCGAAGCCTGTCCTGAGCATCCTTTTCTATCTGTTTCCATGATGTCCCCGCTTTTTCAATTTCCGCTTGTACCGCTCGCCTCCATGTCATCTTTGTTCTTCCCTTCTTACGTTTTCCCTGTGGGTTCCAGGTTAAAGCCTGCCTGATGATGCTTTTTGGGGGTCTCCTCAGGGTATGTCCAATCCATTTCCATTTCTTCACCAGTATGTCTTCCTTTACTGGCCTTTGGCTTGTTCTTTCTCACAGTTGAGCATTAGTGACTCGATCGTGCCACTTGATGCCCACTATCCTTCGTAGGCATCCATTTACGAAGCTCTGCAGTTTCCTTGCTGCTGATGCTGTGAGCCTCCAAGTCACTGAACCATACAGTAGAACAGTCTTCACGTTTGTTTTGAAGATCCTCAGCTTGGTGTTCAATCCCAGTTCCTTAAACATCCATATATTCCTGAGAATGATGAATGCTGCTCTTGCCTTTTGGATTCTAATCTTGATGTCTTCGTCTGTTCCCCCTGCCTTGTTGATGACACTTCCCAGCTAGGTGAAGGATTCAACATCCGCCAATGGTGCCCCTTCCATGTGATAGGAACGTCGGTTGCATTAATTCGTAGAACTTTCGTTTTATCCGTGTGAACATGGAGTCCAACTCTATAGGAGAAGGTCCGGAGGCGATCTGCTTTCTGTTGCATCTGGGCTCGACTGTGAGAAAGAAGTGCCAAGTCGTCGGCAAAGTCCAAGTCTTCCAACTGACTGGTAAGGGTCCACTGTATGCCACCGCGTTGTCCCAATGTTGCCTGTCTCATTATCCAATCCACTGCTAATAAAAAAAGAGAAAAGGCGATAGCAGGCATCCCTGTCTCACTCCTGTATTCACTTCAAACGAGTTTGTCCACTGCCCTCCAAGTAAGACACTGCAACTCATTCCCTCATACATTTTCTTGATCAATCTCACGAACTTCTCAGGTATTCCGTAGTGGCGCATGGGCTTCCATATTGAGTCCCTATCTAGGCTGTCAAAAGCTTTTTCGTAGTCAACAAAGTTAACGTACAGGGAAGAGTTCCACTCTGTGGACTGCTCCACTATTATCCTCAAAGTTGCAATCTGATCTGTACATGATCTCTTTATACGGAATCCTGCCTGCTCCTCTCTTAGTTTTGCATCCAAGGCTTCCTTCAGTCTTTCCAGTATAGTACGACTTAAAATCTTCCCAGGAATGGGCAGGAGCATGATTCCTCTGTAGTTTTTACACTCATGCATGTCTCCTTTTTTGGGTAGTTTCACGATCAATCCCTCTCTTCAATCCTGTGGAAATTCTTTGCTGTCGCATATCTTGCCAATAATTTCATGAAGAATCCCTGCCGCTGTGTCGATATCCGCCTTGAAAACCTCTGGGGGAATTCCATCTGGGCCGGCTACCTTGCCTGCTTTCTGGTGTCTTATCGCCTCCTTGATCTCCTCTAAACTAGGCTTTTCTTCACTCAGCCCCAGATCAATCTCTGCTGGTGGAATGTCAAACTGTTTTTCTGGCCTTGGTCTGTCCAGTAACTCTTTGAAATGCTCCTTCCAGCTTTCTTTCTGTTCGTCTGGATTTGTGAGAAGCTTTCCCTCTTTATCCTTCACTGGTGCATCTGTGTTGTTGTATCTGCCTGCAAGTTTCTTGGTGGTTTCATACAGTCCTCTCATGTTTCCTGCCCCTGCTGCTTCCTCTGCCTCGCGTGCTAGGTCATCTACGTAGTTTCTTTTGTCTTTCCGTACGCTGACTTTTACCTCCTTCATTGTTTTGGTGTATTCTTCTTGGGCCTTTGCTTTGGCTGTCCTTGTCTTGCTCCTGTTTACCTGACCCTTTTCCTCTCCCTGTCTTCTATCTTCCTCAGAGTGGTGGCCGATATCTAAGGCTTGTGCTCACGTTTCCGTTTCCACAGTACCTCTTGACACGCAGTAGTCCAGCTTTCTTTTATTGCCTGCCATGTTTCTTCCACGCTGCTATCCTCCCCTAGTGTTTCCAACACTTGGAACCTGTTCTTAACTGCTACATTAAACTCCTCTCTTGACGATGGCTCTCTCAGAAATTCCACGTTGTAGCGGTACATATGATTATTGACAATTCCCTGTCTTCGTTTTAGTTTTAGTCGGATTGTTGAAATGAACAGATGATGGTCCGAAGCTACGTCTGCACCCCTGTAAACTCTAACATCCCTCACTGATCTCCTGAATTTCTTGTTGACACATATGTGGTCAATCTGTTTTTCAGTTTGTTGGTCTGGCGAAACCCATGTTGATTTGTGTATCTGTTTATGTGGGAAAACAGTTCCTCCTATCATGAACCCATTCGTTGCACATATTTCTGCAAATAGTTCTCCATTCTTGTTTCTGACTCCAAGTCCGTGTTTCCCCATGATTTACCCAAAGCCTACATTGTCACTGTCTACCTTAGCGTTGGAGTCTCCCATTAAAATCAAAATGTCCTTCCTTCTAACCTGATCAATAGAATTTTGTAGCATTTTGTAGAAAGTCTCTTTCACATCCTGGTCCTTATCATTGGTGGAGGCATATCCCTGGATAACATGAAGGTTGAGGTCTTTCTTCTGTGAACGGAATTCAGCTGATATTAGTCGCAGGTCCTCTGCTTTCCATCCTATCAAAGCCCGCTTGGCGTGTGTTGATAACAGAATACCTACTCCTTCTGTATGCGGCGAGTTTTCCTCCAGATGTCCAGAGTAGAGAACTGTTTCTCCTGAAGCAAGTTGGCACTCCCCTGCATTCGTCCATCTCGTCTCACAGAGACCCAATATGTCCAGATGGTAGCCCTTCATCTCTCTTGCGACCTGCAGTGCCTTCCCTGCCTCGTACATTGTACGAACATTCCAGGTGCCAAGTCTGGTGGTTCTTCTGGTCGACAGGAGGTTTCCGGGCTTGGTGGCTTCCTTTCCGCGTTCACCACCCTGCGTCATTCTACACTCCCTATTCTCTCCTCTCTTCGGGGATGAAGGTCCTCCATCTTCCAGAACTGGCAGTCGGGTTGTTTTTGCTGTTGATGTTTTTGTAGCTGCTTTTTGATTTACGGGAAAGGGCTGCTAACCCTTTGCCTAACCGACCTTAGTCGCCTTCTACGACATGCGTGGTACGGATACAGTGGTCCTATTCTTTGCTCCCCTGTCTCTTGGACAGGGCCCCGAAAACCACACGGGAGCTGCCGAAAACTAGTTGAGTTGTTATCCTGATTGCATTAATTTGCGGAGGGCTATCGTGGTTTGATAATAAGTACAGGTTTTGTTTGTTTGTGTTTTTTGTGGGGCGGGGGGTTGGGTAGGGAGGGATTCGTCATTAACCTTGACCATCAACAATTTATCTATAGAAAAATCAAACCTGCCTTCACAAAGACAACATTACTGATTCGACTTAGTATATTACAATATTATTATGGAAGCTCCACAATATTACTTCATATAATTATCTCATCTCTAACTAGGGCCAGGCCTTGCCTTTGTGGTGTACCCAGAAGCCATCTCGTACCTTCCTGTGCCACAGCTGTGGGGAGTTCTCTTTTTCCTGATGCTCTTCACCCTGGGGCTGGACTCCCAGGTGATTCAACTGGATAACAAGCGTCGTTCTTCGGATCTTTTTTGTTAACCGACTTATTTCAACGGATCTCTTTTACCAAACGACTTCTTTCACCGGATCCTGTTTTGGTGAACTGATTTCGTTCTCCGGATCCTTTAAAAAAACTTTTGTTACCTGACTTTGTTGAACGAATAATTTTTGTTAACTGACTTCTTCCAGAGAATCCTTTTTGATCACTGACTTCTTCCACCAAATCCTTTTTTTTGGTGCACAATTACATTTCCTTTTCCCCCCAAAATACTTCGCACTGACTGACCTCTTTCCCTAAATCCTACTGAACAAAATGGCTTTCTTTCAACAAATAATATTTGCAAACTGACATAAAAATATAGATTCCTTTTACTACTGAAACTTGATTTCTTTCCCCGACTCACTTGCAAATCTGTTCAGCTTTCACTTTCAGATCAGCAGCCTTGAAATGGTTATAATCTATATTGCATCTAAAAGTAAAGAAAATAATCATCAAATAAGTGGAATTTTCCTGTTTTACTTCGAGAAAAACAATCAATGAAACTTCTGAATTTAAAAAGATCTTTGTATTCACATCGGTGCACGGGCTCGTTATGTATAGTTAGTTAGTTTGTTTTGTTTGGGGGTTTTTAGGGTTTTTTTTTTTTGGGGGGGGGGGGTGTTGTTTTTGTGATAAATTGTTTTCAGCTCTGACAATGTTCCCAATTTTCTGTTGCAGTTTGTGTTTTGCGAGACGTTTTTGACCACCGTCACTGACGTGTTTCCCTGGTTGATGAAGAGGAGACAGTTTCTCTTTAAGATCCTATTCTTCACAGTTTTGTTTGTTATATCTTTACCTTTCGCCACAGAGGTAAATCAATTACATGTAAAAAGCTCAGCGGCTTCCATATAAAACCTGACCGGGGGTGGTTTTTTAAAAGTAAAATGTCTTTTTCATTTTTCATTTTAATCTTTCGTTCTTTTAAAAATCATAACTTTAGCTTGAATTTAATAAATTTAAACTATTTTCTGAACTTTGTTTTTCAATTTAATTTAATTCAATTTGTTTATTCGCCTGTTGTAATTATTATAATAATGACTTTTGTTATGTTTTTGTTTTTGTTTTTGTTTTTGGTTGTTTCTCCTTTCTCTGTGTTTGCTAGTTTATTCGTTTTTGTATTATTTCTTTTGTTTTGTTTTGTATTTTTTGTCTTCATAACTCTGAGTTGGAAAAGGATTATTTGAGCTTTGAGTAGTAAAACGAAACAAAAAAAGGTCCTGGTCCTTTGCTGGACTTAAACACCCGCACTTCGCCAGGCACTTCTTGGAACCACGCACTTTATAAAGGACGTTAATATAATATGCTCAGCGAAAACGTGCAAGAGCAAAGCGAAGACCTTTAACCAGAAACCTGTCGACGCATGTTCTGCGGCTGTTGTTGACGAAGACAAAACAATCGTTATACTATGCCAATAACACACTCACACACACACACACACACAAACACACACACACACACACACACACACACACACACACACACACGCACACAACGTGTTTCTTAATTTTCAAAGTTCTCTTTTCATTTCTAAAACTTTTATATCTGTCCCTGGACATGTGGATTTGGACTATAGAATTTTATAGCCGTCAAATAAAATAATAATATGTGAGAGTGCATAAAGGTTTTATAATGTGAAGTCGTCAATACCTCATACTGATACATACTGTTGATTTGTTTGTAGGTAAGGATTTTTTCAGTTCCTGTTTTTAAAAAAGTAAGGAGGTGTGGAAAAGGGGCTATTACACTTTTTTGTTTGTTTGTTTGCTTGTTTGTTATTTTTTAACTTCAAAAGCTAAAGAATCATTGCATGCTTCCTTTTTTTGTTATATGTTCACTGCGCTCTCCCCTTTTTGCTTTTACACCTATTAGTTTTCTTTCGAGCGCTATTTTTTCCTTTCTTACTGTATTGTTTTTTTCGGTTTTTTAAAAATTTCTTTCTTTGGCTAGGGCGGCATGTACCTGTTTCAGCTGGTCGACTGGTATTTCGCCGCCTATGTCGTGATTGTGGATAGCATTTTGGAGCTGTTCGTTGTCAGCTGGATCTACGGTGAGAAACTATGTCATAATTTAATTTAGCACTACTGTGAGACGTGTTTTATATTATTATCATAATTATAATTATTATAGACATTTAAAAATTGGCAAGCTG